ATATAGATACATACACTATAACAATCTCTGTATATAAATACTGTTGTGTATGATACACCTAATTTACATAAGTGGAGTACCGACCATATAAATATGGGTTGGTACCGGAAGACGACGGAAGATTTAGAGATCGAATCCAGAGACTCTGCCCGACTGCGACTTAGTCAACCCATTCTGCAGGAACAGTCTTCCCAAGAATATACCAAAACTACCTGTAAATATTGTGTACCTTTTTTCATTGTTTCAATACATTTTGTTACGTACATTTTGTTACGTACATTTTGTGTTGTATTATTATTATTCCATGCTTATTCAAGCTTCAACAAATACACACACACATACTATAACAATCTCTGTATATAAATACACACACACACACATACATATATATATGTGTGTGTTTGTGTGTGTGTGTGTTTTTTTTGTGTGTGTGTGTAAATGATGACTGATAATCGTATACCGACATTGCTTTTCTACGTTCAACTCCGTAGCGGTCATAGAAATATTGGTAGACCTTAGCTCATAGATAAAGATAAAATGAAGATCAACCTTTCTTGCGTCGACATTCCATTTATGAACTTTGAAAAATTAGTCATAAAGCGATCAGAATATCTTCCCACCTACCAATCAGGAATAAGGCACCATCAAGCAACAAGACTCATTCGACTTCGTGAAAACCCGAAAGCGAAATAAAACAGCTAACAATGTTCCTGCTACACTTGCATACAATACTTTCTCTTGTACTGTTTGTGGCCTTTTGTGAATTCTCGATCCGGCCTCAAAAGTCCTGCCTGTCATAGTCATACAGATGATTAGTAGATTTTCGTCGGAACCTCAAACGTTAAATCAACGGGGAATCCATCACCCCCCCACACACATATATATATATATATATATATATATATATATATATATATATATATATATATATATATATATATAGAGAGAGAGAGAGAGAGATAGATAGATAGATAGATAGATAGATAGATAGATATAAAATAGTCGATAATTATGTCAATAAAACAAAGTCAGACGTAAGGGTGCCGATGTAATCAGTACGAAAAACAAAAAATTAACCAGGTGATAAAAATGAAGCACAGAGATTGAGGTTTCAAGTTCGTATTTCTGGAACACGGCTGTGCTATTTATCAGCCGATGCGAGAAATAAAGAGAAGAACGTTAGAGACTATCATACTTTACCCAGATATTTTAAGTTTCTTTTATTCATTTAATTTGATCAGGGATGTTGGTAATGTACATTGTTTACTTTAAAGGTATTGGCCTGGTCTAATGTATATTACATTGTCTGAGTATAAGGCATTGCTTTTGATTCGAGATGATAATTTACAATGTATTTCTTTTATTTTTCAGTTTTTAAGTAACATTATATAGTAGTTTTCTTTTTACTATGCAGATGGTGTAATCAATAGTGATTCTGAATGAGGAATCGGCGAGATACGTTCAAATTCTAGTGCAGATCATTACATTTACATACGCGGTAATACCCTTAAGACGGCGTATGAATCCATCTATTTGCTTACCAAACTATGGATTAAATATTAAGATTTATATCTGGAGAAAGATCATTGTTATCTCCAAAAAAGTTTTAGGAAAAAAAATTTTTAATCGAAAAAATTCTTATTCTTATAATTCAAAATATATTTCAGTTGGAAATAACCAACAAATCATTGATAAGACATAAACAAAAATAAATAAATCAATAAATCAATCAACAAGAAAATACTTGACTCTTCCTAACAGACACTATATTTACTAAAAATAGATGTAAGAAAGAATGTTGTAGGGTTGCTATCACTTTCCTTGACAGAGATCAAAAGATTTCCCCTCTCCTTGGTGGTGGTGAATAATTTTTCCAACCTGCAATCACTTTCCAACAGACGAAACATCGCAGGTCTATCGCTATTCTGTCGCTATTTCCCTGGCAAATGTTCAGATGATCTACATTGCTTAGAGACAACTGTTCTGATTATCGCTTTTACGATCCGACATGGCACGTAAACATGATCGATAACCATTCATTTCCTTCTTATTCCATTAGTAAAAAAATCAACCTCAAAATTTTTTCCAGAGAACCCCTTCAACTTTTCGAGAAGGTGCATCCCACCGACCATTAAAAATTAACCTCTTCAAGTCGATTGATATCGAACCGACATATCCTCATAATCTACATTTCTATAGTTTCTACTCTTCTACACTTGCAACAATATCCTCCATTAATCCTTTAGGTTAAGTGGCGCCCGAGTCTTTCATTTCTTCGAACATTTAAAAACAAAAGTTTTAAATCTAACTGACACACCTCCGCCTTAGAAAAATCTTTCAAAGACATGAAAGTGATATAATGGTATCCAGTCTCACATGATATGAATTTACTAACAATATTATGGTTCATCATTAAAGGAAGATGATCTGCAAATGGAAAGCATTATTCAAACAGAATATAATCTGTATATCAATATTTTTATTTTCATTTTTTATTAAATTCGAAAGAGAAAAGTTAACAAATCAAATATGTAAAATAATTTAACCAAAACAGTCCTGGCCGCGTTTTTAGATCTTGTTGGAAGAGTTGAACACTAATACGCAAATCAGTGCCTCAAGTTACGGGGGAGCGTTTGGCGTGGTGGTTGCGTGTCATTGCTCTTGAGCACATCAGTTATAGATCCAGTTGTGGCAGGAGAAACTGGTGGTGTCAAAAGAGCTCGTTCGGCGTTATTTGATTATGACGTTAAGGTCGTCTTGTCCGCAGCCCCATCATGTTGGCGAATAGGTGAAGCCTACGGGGATGATACTGTGAGTGAATGCACCGCCAGGCATTTTTCCAGAAGTTCAGGTTGTGATGAACCACTCAGCTGTCCACGATTCCTGGTTGATATGCCCCTGAAGACGGCCATAGAAGACAACAATAGCAGTGATAAGCTTCCCGAACGCATCCAGCTTTCTGATAATAAATATCAGTCTTCATTGCACTGTATAGGGAAGGCGTACAATTTGAGCAAGTGATTAACGCAAACACTGTCGGAAGCTAATAAAAAACAACAAAAGCGCAGCTTGGTTCTTTTTGTTTCTCTCTCGGCACGTCAAGGAGTCTTTATTTGATCGAGTGCTCACCGATGACGAACATTATGATATTTCAAGCGTGCCAGATATTGTTTGTTACCCAAGGACCCTTTACCTTACAACACAAGACCACATCTTTACCTGTGCAAGACCTTGATCGGTGAACTAGTCGACAAGCGGTGCATTATGATCTGCTATCAAATGAATAAATCATAACTGCTGACATGAACTCGCAGCAGTTTGAACGTGTGAAACAGGCACTGAAGCAGAAGGAGACAGCATTGGTTAATTGCAAGGAATTTTCCACCATGAGAATAGTAGAGTAAATGTAGTGTTGTTGGCCAGGGATAACATACGGAGTCTTGACTAGTAGATACTTAGCCATACACCTTACACCCTGGAACTTGAACCAGCAGATTACCACCTCTTCCATAGACTGAGCAACCACCTTCGGTGCAAATACTTTGCAAATGAAGCAGACTTGCAGCAGGAACTCACAGACACCTTTGCGTCAATGACACGTGATATTTACCGCCAAGGCATTGCGCAGTTAGCAAAATTTTCTGCTTGCCGATGGGGATTACTCTGAGGACCATCAGTATGACAGATTTGCTGTGTCACTTTTTGGTTTAACTTGTAGATTGATGAAATTTATATAATATCAAAAAACGTATTAACGTATAAACTAAAAAAAACATAGTTCATTGGTGTATATGGTGACAATTAAATCACTTGTCTTGTAGACTATATATTTTGACTATGTTATAAAGTAGAATATGTTGCTCTTCACTTTTGTGTAATAAAAACAGATGCCCACAAACAAGTTTTATACGTATCTTTAATAAGGTTCGATATTGTATATTGAACATTTGACAAACATCAGTCTTTTAATGACTATTTTATTGTAAGAATATTGATTTCCGTAATAAAAGCTGACAGTTTATTTTTAAACCTCTATATTTCAATCGTCTTTCTTTTCAATTTTATTTTATTTTTTTTACTTTTGATTAACTTCTGTATCCATCATTATAGATTTTTTTCGATCTCCTGAAATTAATTTTCCTTCTTATTTTTTTTTTTTTTTTTAGTATTTTTATTATTTGTTTTGCTATTTTCTTTTTCTTTGTATTTTTTGCTTGGTTGATTAATTCGTTTCTTTTATACATTCTTTTAATCTTTCTTTTTATCAATCTTTCTTTTTTCTTTTTCTACTTTTCATTATTTCAATCTTTCCTTTTTTTCAATCTTTCTTTCTTTCTTTCTTTCTTTCTTTCTTTCTTTCAGTCTTTCTTTCTTTCAATCTTTCTTTTAATCTTTCTTTCTTTCTTACAATTTTCTTTCTTCCACTCTTCCTTTCAATGTTTCTTTCTTTCTCTCAATCTTTGTTTCCGTCTTTCTTTCTTTCAGTCTTTCTTTCTTTCAATCTTTCTTTTAATCTTTCTTTCTTTCTTATTTTATTTATATACCATTTTTGATATCCTACCTTTATTCATTTTCTCATTAATATTGGTCTCAATTCTCTCTTTAAAAACTGTTAGCATTTCCCATCTTGTTGTTTTGTTTTTTCGATGTCTTCCATCCGGTATTTGTTCCTTTATTTAATTTTTTTTTTACCTTCTCATCTTCTTCTTTTCACCTTTAATACAAATCAATATGCAGTTTTTAGATTGGATTTCCAAATCGACTTTCACTAATAGCTTCACTTTCAAGTTTCTTTCTGTTTCTCTTCTTTACTTAGTTATATTTCAGTTCTTAGTTATGAAACTGCACTTATCACCCCTATCTTTATTTTCTTTACTTTCATTCTTGTGAGGTTTCTCTCTTTCTTTATGCTTCTCTTTTTCTTTTTTTTTCTTTCTTTATTTGTTAAATGAATTGCTATATTGTCCCCAGCAGAATTGTTTACATATCGGCATTTTTATATGTTCGCTTCCTTTCGTCATATATTTCTTTCTTTTTCCCATCCTTCATTTCTTTCATTAATTCTTTCTTTCATCCTTTTTACACGCCTTTTTTCCTTTCACCGTGTCTATCTTCCTTTCTCCGTTCCTTCCTTTCTTTCTTTCTTTCTATCATTCATTCATTCTTTCTTCTTTCATTTTAACGAATGTCTTTTTTGTCTCCAACAAAATGGTTTTTTATTATATATAGTATATTTAGCAATATTCTTCCTTCCTTACCAATTTTTTTCTTCGCTCCTTATCTTCCTTCCTTGCTACATTTTCTTTCTTTCTTTCTTTCTTTCTTTCTTTCTTTCTTTCTTTCTTTCTTTATTACGCCCAGCAAAATTATTTTCTTATAAATATTTGGATCTTTTCGCTTTCTTTCGTCATAAATTTCTTTCTTTGCTCCTAATTTTTTTCCTTTCAACACGCCTTTCTTCCTTTCTACGTCCATTTCTTTCTTTCTTTCTTTTTTTCTTTCTATCTTTCATTCATTCAGTCTTTCTTTTTTTCATTCTTTAACGAATTTCTTTTTTGTGTATATAGTATATTTAGCAATATTCTTATTTCCTTAACTCCTTATCTTCCTTCCTTGCTACATTTTCTTTCTTTCTTTCTTTCTTTCTTTCTTACGCCTAGCAAAATTTTCTTATTAGTATTTGGAACTCTTCGCTTTCTTTCTTCATAAATTTCTTTCTTTGCTCCTGACTTTTTTCTTTTCTCTTTCTTTCTTCCCTTACCTTTCTTTCTTTCGATCTGACTTCCTTTCTTTTTTTCTATCTCAATTCCTTTCTTCATTCCTTTCTTCCTTCTTTCTTTCTTTCTTTCTTTCTTTCTTTCAATTTCAATGAATTTCTATAGTGTGTCCCAAAAATCGTTTTCTTACTGTTGTTTTTACCAATTTTCTTCATTTCTTAACAAATTTATTTCCTTCCTTCCTTCCTTTTTCTTTCCATCTTCGTTTTTTCCCTTGTTTTCTTTCTTTCTCTTTCAACAATGAAACTCTATATTAGACAAAAGAAATTGTTTTATTATTGGTATTTCTGTCTCTTCACTTTCTTTCTACATAAAGTTCTTTCTTTGTAGGGACATTTCTTTCTTTTCAGTTTAATTTTCTTTCTTGCTTGATATTTGTTTTTCTGTCTTTATTTAATTAATTTTTCTATTGGCCAAGCAAAATTGTTTTCTTCTTGTTATATCTGCTCACTTAATTTATTCATAAAATTTTTCTTTACTTTTAACTTTCATTTAACTTCCTTCATTTCATTCTTTCATTTTACATATCTAATTATTTTTGTTTTTGGGACAAAATTTCCATTTTCTCCAAAGACAAATAATTAACTTACTTAACTTGTTTTTCCTTGATTTTTCCCTCCCTTCCTTCCTTCCTTCCTTCCTTCCTTCCTTCCTTTCCATCCATCCATATTTATTTATTTATTAATTTCTGTTTTTTTTTCTTTTTTTCATTCTTTCTTTCTTTCTTTCTTTCTTTCTTTCTTTCTCTCTTTCTTTCTTTCTTTCTTTTTTCTTTCCTTCTTTCTTTATTTTTCTTCTTATTATAATGACCTTTTACTTCATCGTATTTTTCCAGTTCCCTTGTATATTTTCTTCTTATTATTTTTTTCTTTCCTATTATTTGATATTCTTTCCTTCAGACCTTTCCTTTCGTATATTTTAATTTTTGATTTACATCAATAATCTTTCTCACATTTTATTTCTTTTCTTACATTTCACCTTTTGTAAAAACGACGAAAAATAGATATCCTTTCTTTCTTTCTTTCTTTCTTTCTTTCATTCATTAAAATCTGTTCATTCATTCTTATCGACCAGTTATGTCTGCTGACATTCTGCATTGAATAATTTATCCACGTTTTTTTCTTTCTTTCTTTCTTTCTTTCTTTCTTTCTTTATTTTTTATTTATTTATTTATTTATTTCTCCTTGCTTGAATAACTTCACTTTCCTCTGCATTTGATATTTTAGGCTATTTCCTTTCTTAATGCATTTTTTCTTTTCGCTACTTGACGCTTCTTCTTAAATTATATTTCATTTTAAATAACTCTTTAACATTTCTCATTCAATTTCTTCCTTCATTAATTATATTCAGTTCTTCTCCTTCATCATACCACCATTTTCCTTAAAAACATTTTCCTATTTCTTCTATGAGAATGGTTTGTTGACATAAGCAAAATTTTATATGTTTTTATTCATTTTCAAAACGTTTAAACCAGTTCCTTGTAAACAGCAATATTTTCTGATTCCGACTCCATGAGACACTTAATGATTATTGGACGGAAAACGAAAATACTACTACCTACCAATATATCTGACCTCCAAACCTGTAACACATGAGATGTTTTTCTATTTGAATTACTTTCATAATACAAATTTATCTTAGTGCTATGTCAAATAGTAAATGTCTATTTTATAACAATATTGTAAATATTTGTACAATGAAAGCATCTGCAATATGAGATAACATTGGTGAGTAAAATCTTTATTTTCTCTCTTCTTAATTCCTCTTCATTTATTGTTCTCTCACAATAATGTTTAATTTTCTCATATTCTCTCACACGCAGTGACCCCTTGCGTCTATGTAACGTTATTCTGTAGCTTGCGGTGAAATGTTTAATGAAAAGTCGTTCAGTAATAAAATGATTAGTAATGATTTGATTAACTGATTTGTCTTTTACGGCTTACCAATAATTTTCAGCTTATTCAAAGCCAGATAATATTTTAGACTGGAAGTAATTTTTCCACCCAGTCGTCCAGCTAGATAGTGACCAGCTCCCCCTTCAATGCTCGTATCAGAACTGATGTTTCAAAGTAATATGACCGTAAGCATATTAATGTTATGAGACACTATTATTCACAAAGTTTTTGCGAATAGTTGTGTATGCGAATAAATTTGAGATAATATTTAGCAAAATGTGGAAATATCATATACAGTTCAATTTATTATGCATTATATAAATATATATATATATATATATATATATATGTGTGTGTGTGTGTGTGTGTGTGTGTGTATGGGAGTGTGTGTATTTAGTTGGCAAACCCTCTTTTACATGTTTCATTAAAGACGACTCTAAAGGTACTGCAGTTAAGCTTTTTATTTAATTGTTGTTGTTTTCTAGATTTTCTATAATGTGTTTTCTTTTCTGGACATAAAATGTGTAAAAATTCTCCAAATGTCTTGCATGATCCGAGCGCTATGAAGGATAGTTTTTATTTGTATCTTTAACCGGATGTATGAATTTTTATGTATGTCTATAGAGTTATAAGGATGTTTTGCATTTGTTTATACGTGGTGTAACAGCAAAATTGTCCAAATCGTGTAAGAGCATTGGATAATCCCACAAAATGTTTAATATCTAAAAACACACTAAAATGATTTTTTTTTCAGGTTTTCAGATAAGACATTTAGGAATCTTGACACGATTTGTCCTAAGAATCACTGAAAAAAAAACCAACTCTTGAGTTATTCAGCTATAAAGAGAATTTGTTAAAATTGTTTTGTATCAGCACCACTATGTCTTCCCAAATGAGCAATGGCGAGATGCAAAACACCATTCCGGCCTTCAGTAATGGTAACAACATTCATAAGCTGGCTTCCATCTTCAGATTCCATTCAAGAACCATCAAGAGAACGGTGAATAAGTTTTTAAAAATGGAACAGTAGAGAGGAAAACTTCATCAGAATGTCAAACACCAAGAGGGATTATCATTTAAACTTAGAATTAAATATATATATATATATATATATATATATATATATATATATATATATATATATATATATATATATATATATATATATAAATTTAGAGCCTAATAGTGTTTTGAAAACCTCGGTTTTTAATAATTTCTAAGATACAAGGGTTCAAAGCTTCATCTATCAATGTCTTTCTACTTGTGGAAAACTGATAGCGGAGCGGATATGTTTACCCTGTAACAGCTGAAAAAAAAATCGAGGTCAAATCTCGATCCCGTGACTAGAGTACTACCAACTATAATCACGCATGAGCAGAAGGCTGCGTGACAAGCCTAAAGATATATTATGGTGAAAGCGAGGATAACTTTTGTCTTACCCTTTTACATTGGTTCTATCACCAAATGTTGTTAACCAGAGAATTATCTGTAGGAAATCTTATGAACGTCTCAGAATTGCTAATCGAACTATTATTTTTGCCAGAATAATGTGAAATAGTATTTGCTGTATAAATTGATCAAGCAGGTTTAATTCATTTAAAAATAACAAATTTTTAAGTCTTTCTAAATCATTTTCAGAAGTAGCAGAAAATATTTTTCTTTTAGCCTACAATTGCGTAACTTTTTTATAATTACCCGGGTAAAATTAATTTATTAAACAGATTCTTCATTTTAATGTCTCTAAACAAAATTGCCCTCTTTTAATCATCTTAGCAAAACCTTTTTCGTTTTTCAACAGCATGGTTGATTCTAACCTTCAGTAGAGTAGCTTAATGCACTTTCTCGAACCGTTTCTTACTTAGATAAATTGGAAAGATTATAGCGAGTCAATCGTTTATCTCTCCAGCTTTCTCGAAGGTGTGAATGCTCTATTTCACAAAGAATCAGTTGTGAACCTCTACTGATTTCAAAGAAGTTTTCATCATCACTATAATTATTACAAAGTATATTTACAACATTAAAAAGTATATTTTTCTAATTTCTATTATTGCCTTGGAGAAAAGGAGAAAAAGTTGTAAAAATTGTACATTTAAGGCAATTTAAGAGAAGAGACGATATATCGAAGATGCTTATTTACCAATGAATTGAAAGAGTTATGCCATGCTCATGTATACCTTTTTTCAATTGGTAATTTTTTAACGTTTAATCCGAATAACAGGAAATAATAAAGAGAAAATGTTAAATCCTACAGCGAATAGAAATAGTAAATGTCTCTTTAACTAATTATATCATGTATGAAGAGAAAGAAAAATACCTTCAGAAACAAATAAAAAAAATATGTTGAACTGCTATTTAATATCTAATCTCCTATATATCAGTGAATGCGACCAATTACCTTTAATAGATCCTATTTATATTTGGTGAATTACAGCGAGAAGAAATGCATGAAATTCATTTCATATGTGATGATTTTATTAAAAAAACTATTATTTTAAACTATACATCGTTGGTGTTTTTATTCAAAAGTGTTCAACACAAGACGAAGAATTCAAAATAAATATAAAAAAATTTTTAAGTACATCGAAAAATGTCTTGCTAATAAAAAATTGAATAAGTATGTTGTTTAAATCATTTGTTGTTAGCTTTCGTGAAAAATATATAAATCCAGTTTCATAACATAGGGATGTGTGAAAATGCAACAAATCGATTTTTTTTTTGTAACAGCGGCGTCAAGAGGAAAAAAACTTTGTTCTGAAACTCTTTCATTATCTGATCACAAGGTAAACTTTGCGTTACTAGCAAAATAGAAGTTGAGTCGATATATAATCGTCCCCATCCTCAAATTTGACACGTAAAATAAAAATAAGTTGGCGTTTCAGACGATTCGTACTTGAGTTTCGGTCAGATGTAATCCATGTGACAACAGAAAAAAAAAAAAAAAAGGTGACGAAATTTGCTCTTTACTGTAACAACGTAATGGTGTATTTTTACGGCATCAAAGACTACCAATGATTCCAACCTAAACAAAACCCTGAATATTAAAAATTTCTAAGCTTACAGACATATCACACTGAAAATCGATTCCCATAAAATAACCAAAGTTAAGCAACGTCGAGACTTGTAAAGTACCTAGACGCGTAGCTGCTTGGGAATAATGGATAATATCTTGGAATTGTTAATCTGATTGCCGAGTTCCAATT